TTGATATCGTAGAAACGGTGCAATAAAGAAGATTAATCGATGTGCATAATAACGGATCGATCGTATCACTGTTCCAGCACATTACACAGTTTGTGTTTGTTGTGCCTCAGGTTCGTAGCGCATCGTTTGAATACACATTAACACGCATTCCGTCTTGTTCATGTATAATCCGAACACTGAGAGTGCCTAAAGCCTCTTACATGCTCGTATAAGGAGATTTCGTTTGGATGATCCGCTGCCGACAATTCTTATGAAATGATTGATTGAATGACTGAACCATTCTCGCGTGCCCACTACGACATGGGCGTTTGTCAGGTCTGTAGCTGGCTTATTCTGCAGACTTTTTTTTTCATCTCATTTTCACGTTCGATTCGATAGAAAAAACCGAATGTTATTACAGAGTAGGTGGGAACAAGTACGTAACGTCAGTGGTTCAAACAACGACGAAAATGCCGCAAGGATTGCCTCGCAATTGACGTTTGCCGGAACAAGAGCTTTAGTCATCGCGGTACCAATTGCACCATCTGAGGCTCGTTGACAGTCTCTATCGTTGCCTATCGATATCACAACTTACGATAAGAATGGGTCGTTGTTTGTAGGTAAAAATTGTTCGTGAGAAATCGATAATTGTTTGTTGTGCAAATGCAAACGCTGAAAAGCCTGATAAAATAATGGTGATTGACGTTGATCCGACAAGAGCGACATATGGACAGGTAATTGCAATTGATGTTGATGCAACTTCGTAGAGCCATCTTTCTTGATTCAGACGATAGATAGATGTTTGAGCACTGTCATAAGCAGTGCTTGTTTTTACCGATTGTCCTCTCGATCATAGCCATTCCGCTTGACTGCCTTTTTTCATTTTAATGTATTATCGTTTGCTGAATTACCGACAATCGGTGATGAACTCATCCACATGGGTTGGAGTCAAACGGCTGCAACGAGGGACGATATGAGCACTTTGAATCGGAGATATCTGATTGCGCCATGCATAAATACTTCGCGAATTTACATTTTTGATTACCACGATGAACGTATTTCTATTCATAAGGTATGTGTTAACATACCTCTATATTTATTCATTCATTCAACTCGTTACAATCATATGCTNGTTGTAAACCAGTGATATTTTTCCATCCAGAATATCACTGTGTTACGCTGATATATGATAACATGTATACATACACACATCTGATCAGTAGCATTCTGCTTTGACCTTACTTCAAACATCTGTTTTATAGTTATTGCAAAAGCTGTAGATCAACTGATGATGAACTGAAACTTCATAGAGCATGATGTCTTCTTCTTCTTCTTTAGTGTATCAGTGAAGAGGTTCTTTTTCAAAAAGATTTAAGTGCTCCTTACGCTATCCACAGCTTACCGCAGAGGGGCACACCAGTGCTCATCTCAACGCTCGGCGATAGACATGGTCATGCTCGAGGTGGGTGCTTGTTTAATTCAAATTGAAACAATTCACTAGCAAAACTTCCAGTTTGCTCATAACAATTGAAAGTTTCAGCTCTGTCCATTAGAGTGGTCATTAAACAAGTCAATGTTTCAGGAGATTTCATTGTTTTGAATCGCAAAACGTTCGATGTTGCACACGAAAGAGTGGAGAGTGACAAAAAATTCGCAAAATTCGGTGGTTATTTTGCGGCACAACCGAAATATGGCTTTATGATCAGTACTGAATGGGGACATCCACGCCTTTTCAAACATGGCCTTCTTCTCAGTGATCTCGCAAATGGTAACTGATCAGTCGCTGCATAAGAATTTTCTAATGAGCAGTTAACTACCTATTACTTAGAACAGCTCAGGTGGCTATGGGAACAGGTTGAATGTGTGGCGTACAGATGGACGAAGTTTGAAAGAAGTGATTGAACTGGATGAATGCGATGGGTGTATGACGAATGTGGTCAGATTCTTGCACAACAAAGAGGTTAACCACGGTTTCGCGTGCTCTGCATACGGCTCTGCGATATTTCACATTCACGTCAATTCGGTTGGTTGGTTGCTTGCTTGTTTCATGAACTACTGTATTGATGTGATCACATTTGTATTGTGTTTAGCTGACCGGCAAAGTGTGCGTGGATAAAGTGGCTGAGATGGGTCAGGCAGAAGTTGACGGTTGGGCAATCGAAAGACTACCGGCAATGATAGCAGATCTAGTCATATCGATGGACGATCGATTCATGTACGCTTCAGCCTGGCTTCATGGATACGTGGCACAGTACGACATAACCGACCCTTTCAGAGTGTCACTTTGTAGTAAGGTGCGTAGTTTCAAATCTTATCCGAATTTCTTATAAGAAACACACTAAAACCCGACATATTGCATGCACTGTACAAAAAGACGTCATCGGCGTTCTGAAATGCTATGCGATGCCACAGTCAAATGTGAAGAAAGTTTTAGTTGTTCTCTTTACAAAGCTCTTAATACTCGCGATTTCTTCAGATATATGCTGGCGAATCATTACTGCCAACAAGTG